CTTTTTCATGAATCTGTGGGGGTAACTGGGCAGCTTTTCTGTTGGTCTTTCCTGGACTCATTCATGTGGCTGCATTAGCTGACGGTGGCCTGGGCACTGGGCTTGGCTGGGACAGCGGGCTTCCTCTCTCTAACAGTCCTTCATCCTCAAGGAGGCTCGGCTGTACTTTTTACACGGTGGCTGGGTTCCAAGAGGAGATGGGAGGCTGCAAGGCCTTGTGGCCTGGGCTTGGAAGTCATATAATGATCAAATCAAGTCAGAGGGTAAAGGCCGGCCTAGATTCAAGGACTCCACCTCTTAATGGGAGGGGCTGCAAAGATTCTTTGGCCGTATTTAATTTATCACAGGCCTTGGAGACAGAAAAGAGAGAAGATAGTGACTAAAGAGTATGATCTGTTACCAAGCAACGTATGAATTTAGTGTGGCCAAATCTTATAACTTTTCAGAAGAAGCTGGAAATCTAGATTAAAAAAAAATTTACTAATAGACTACTTTTTAGAGCAGTTTTAGGTTTACAGAAAAATGGCTCAAAATAACTTAGAGTTTTCATATAACTCTCCCCTTTCCCTAAGTTTCCCCTATTATTAACACCTTTCATTAGTGTGGTACGTTTATTGCCACTGATGAACCAATACTGATACATTATTATTATTGCTATTATTATTAACTAAAGTCCACAGTTTACATTAGGATTCACTCTTTCTTTTCTATGGGTTTTGACAAATGCATAATGTCTTGCATTATGCATTTAGTAATATCTACTATTAGGATATCATACAGAAGAGTATCACTGTCCTAAAAATGCCCTGTGTCCTTCCTGCCCACTAATCTTTTTACTGATTCTATAGTTTTTCCTTTTCCAGAATGTCATATAGTTGGTATCATACCATACTGCAGTCTTTTCAGAGTGGCTTTTTTCTCTTAGCAGTATGCGTTTATGGTTCATCCATGTCTTTTCATGACTTGATAGCTCACTTCCTTATATCACCAAATAATATTCCATTGTCTGGACGTGCCACAGTTTGGTTATCCATTCACCTGCTGAAGAACAACTTGGTTGCTTCCACGTTTGGGCAATTATGAATAGGCAGGATTTTGTGGGCCTAAGCTTTCAACTCATTTGGGTAAACACCTAAGAGCGTGATCGCTTGATCGTTTTTTTTTTTTTTTTCCGGTACGTGGGCCTCTCACTGCTGTGGCCTCTCCGGTTGCGGAGCACAGGTTCCGGACGCGCAGGCTCAGCGGCCACGGCTCACGGGCCCAGCCGCTCCGTGGCATGTGGGATACTCCCGGACCGGGGCACGAACCCGTGTCCCCTGCATCGGCAGGCGGACTCCCAACCACTGCGCCACCAGGGAAGCCCCTTTGCTCAGCTTTTAACTGGGTGGTTTGTTTACTTACTGTTGAATTTTAAGAGCTCTTTATATATTTAGTATACTGGTCCTTTGTCAGATATGTGTTTTGCAAATACTTTTTCCTAGTCTGTGGCTTGGCTTTTCATTCTCTTAATAATGTCGTTCCCAGAGTAGAAGCTTTTAGCCTAAATGAAGTCCAACTTACCAATTTTTTCTTTCATGGATTATGCTTTTGGTGTTTCTTTAAACAGTCATTGCCAAACCCAAAGACACCTAGATTTTCTATGTTGTCTTCTAGAAATTTTATAGTTTTGCATTTTACATTTAGGTCTATGGTCCATTTTGAGTTAATTTTTGTGAATGCTGTAAGGTCTGTGTCTAAATTCATTATTTTGTGTGTGTGTGTGTGTCTAGTGGTTCCAGCATGAAATCTGGATTTTTGTGTGAAGTGACCTGATCTTAATGGTTTGTTCAATCTTTTTTTTTTTTTTGGTGGTCGTGGTGGGGGAAGAACTAAGTTCCCCCTCCCCCAACACACACATCTGTAGACTGTTTTTCTCCATCCTGGATTATCTCTGCCTCTCTCATCCCCTTACCTGAAATGCTCTTCATCCACCCATATCATCTTACCCAGTGCCCACCTCACATTTCATCTACGCCACTTTTCCCGACACTGACTGGCTTGTGTACCTAACAGATACCCAGTTAAGAGCTGTTGAACTCTAAATGCACTTCTGAGCTCTAAGCCCCATTTAGCACTGCCATTTACCACCATTTTTCCTCCTCAGCCAGAGTGTAAACTCCCGGGGAGGCCAGGAATCCTCTTTTTCTCCTTTACCCCAGGTAGCTCAGCAGAGGTCTGAGCATAAACCAGGTCAGTACTATTTGCTGACCATTTTAGATGAGCTAAACTTTGGTCTCGGCTCACCAAGTGTCCTTTGATCTTTAGGAGAGACAGCAACCTCAAGAGGTCCAGCTGAGGACCTGCCAAAGATAGGCTCCCTGCAGCCTTGCCCTGGCAGGCCTGAAATGGTGGCATCTCAGATTCTGATGCCTGATTTAGCATTATGTCCACACAAACAAGAGGACCTTCATCTCCTTGGAGAATTAGAAAAGATTTACAAAGGAGACAGCAAAATGTGGCCTCCAGAGTACCAAGGGACGCTGAGTCACAAACAAGTTTCTTTCATTATGATTGTTATGTGGTCAGAAGGATCATTCCAGTCATTATGAAAACAATGAAAAACAAATGAATGAAATAAAAAGAACACACAGTTTTCTGGTGACTGGTTTCCCCACGCTGTGCCTAATTTACAGTCAAGGTAATGGTAATCCCCCACCCCTCGACCTGGTCTTGTGTTTTCATCTGCGTCATTAAGTGTCCCCATTCAAGGAGCTCTGTGCACCTCCAAGTGAACAATGACGGAAGGAATGAAAGGGTCCAGGACCGAGGCTGAGACCCAAGTGGTCTCGGCTGGTTGCAACTGAGTCCCAGCACCATGGCAGAGGGTGCCTCAGAATTCACTGACTCAGGGAAGTACTGTGGCTTCCGCTTGCCGGGATGACCTCTCATCCATCAGTCGGTGGTCCAATCCCAGGCCAGGCCAATCCCAGGCAGAATAAATCTGGCAGGCACAAACTGGGCAACAACATCTCCTGGCCCTGGGTTTCAGAAATGGGTGGAGAAGCAGCTGCAGAGTGTTTAGGGCTGCTGGCATGGCCCTCATCAGGTCCGTAGCAAACGCTGTTGTCAGCACTGCTTCCACCTCAAGAGCAGCCCTCCTGGAGCTCAAGACTTCCAGGTATCAGTTAGCTATTCACTGGGCTTGGAAGACAACAGTCTTGCGGGAAACACACCCACATTCCTACCTCCCATCCTCCACCAGAGGCAAACAGATGGACTGTTCCTGGCCTCATCCTCCCTTCCTTGGGAAAGCCCCCCAAACATACACCAGGTAGGGATGCATCTGGCGTGAAGCAGGCAAAGTGACCCCCAGTGTTTTATGTAAAACAAATCACATCTAGATAACTGAAAAATAAAAAATCCCAAGCCCCCTCCTCCATGACCTGTTTAAAAGACCAAACCCCCCATTTCCACATAGCTGCCAAAGTAGCCTCTTTGGACACACTGTACTCAATGGTGACTTGGGGGGCTCCCAGCCCCCAGCAGCTGAAAACAAAGATTAAAGACCACTAGTTGGTGCCGCCGGCTAAAATCAGGGAGTCTTAAGCAACCTGGGCTAGAAATTCAACCTTGCTCATTCTGAGCAACAAATAACTCCAGCAACTGCAAGGAAAACGGCTCCAGGAGTACCCTAGAGAGCCATCCATCAAGGAAGGGAGGCTCCACAGGCAAGTCTGGCCACGGAGAACCAGAGAGGACTCACTGCCCGCAAGCTGAACAAGTTAAATTATTTTGAGCATCTGAGGCTAGTTCTTGGTAAAAAAAAAAAAACACATCATCTACCTGATAACAGGTACCTTGAATATCAAGGTAGGACTTAAAGCTGCCAACAATGAAAAAGAGACCTGATTTTCTCAATGTACAATTCCATCTTACACTGTTGCTGCATTTTCTAAGTGCCTCATATCCATTTTAGAGTCATTTTTCCTTCCAAACCTTAATATCCCTCAGTCCCTTCTAAGGCAAAAATTGTTAGACCCATTTTGCAGATCTGTAACTATGTTGGCAAGATAGAATGGCGGAGCGCGATCATGCAACCACAGCAGGGAGAGGGGCAGGAAAAGGTTCTGACATCCTGGGGCCTCACCAAGAGAAACAACTGTCCTGAAGGCAATTTGTGGCTGAACCTCAAACTATTTTCACCAGAGAAAGCAAAGTCAACTCTGTTCTTCCTGAGTCTTATACAACTGTGGCTGGAGAGTCCAGCTGTTTTGTCATGGCCTCACATTCTTTATGCAAAGGCTCTAGTGGACAAGATTTATGGGGTGGTCCGAAGAAGCAGGCTAAGTAATGTGGGATGTAACCACAAAAGAGAACTTTCTGGCCCAAGCAGAGTAGATCTAGTTTCCGTGGAGGGTTGGACAACCAGCCTCAAAACTGCCTGTCTCAGCTGTGGGTGCTCGACACCCAAGAATGAAGCAACAGAGGTTCTTCTCCTTTAGAGAATGTGCTCTGTGATCACGGTCATGCTAAGGTTTGAGGAGTTGAAGACTCACAGAGCACCTGGGAGCTATTTTCTCTGGAAGTGGACACAGAGATAGCACTGAACATACTCAACATAATCAGGGAGAAGGGAAACTGCGACAACACAAATGAGTGAAGCAGACTTAGCTACAAATCTACTGAGCTACTACAGTGCCCGGATGTTTGTAAAACTAAAAGAAATTGCTTTTCATGCCCAGCAGCCAGCACAGGCAATGAGCCGTCACCAAAGCCATCTCAGCAGGTAAATCAAACATCACCAAGGCCAAGAAGCGGTATGTTAAGAATAATGATTCCCCTTTGAGATGATGACGCTTAAAAACTCCAAAACAAACTTAGCCAAGCTTCCAAGTTGAGGGAGAAGGTTTAAATCAGGTTCATGGGACAATACTCAAAGTCAGATGGGGCCAGACAGCACATTCTGGGCAGAATGGCTGAGCAAGGGCTCCCTGTGGCCAGCAGCCCGACGTCATACTTACAGTGAGTTGGGCCGGGTGGGTTTGAGCACATCCAGGTCTGGGTCACTGGAGTTCATGTTGGGCTGTAAGCTGCTGCTAGAATTAAGGATGCTGTTTGCGTTTGATGAGACGACAGATTCCAAACTGGAGTCGATGAGGCTGTTTCTCTGTTCCTCTGGGGGAAGAAAAAGCCACAAACTCCATATTAATATTATTCCGTAGAGAGAGTCTGCTCCTACCTATACCAAAGTTTACAAATAAAGAGATTAGATGGAGCTCTCTGGTGCCAATGAAGCTACGAAAAGGACAGAGGAAAGGATAAGAATTACAAGTGGGAAAGGAAGAGCCCAAGAGTAACAGGTGACTTGAAACTTTAGAGCAAAACTCCGTCCTCCGCTTGACAGGACACATCTCCCCTTTCATATGACCAGCCTTTTCCTAAGAGTGGCCCCACCACCGCACCACGAATTGTGTCTTCTTTGGACTGGCAGATGGTCAGAACAGAGAGAGCCTTCAAAGCCCCCTTACAATCAATCATATCCTCTTGGTTTGGTGACATTCACCCTTTATTCTAAAACTCCTGCCCCCAGCATGGTCTTACTTGCCTAAGCCATGTCCTACCTTTGACCCTATAGTACCATGCCATAAAATATCTACTCTTTGGACATCCACTTCCTTATGGCTCTGCAGTCTAAACCCCTGACCACTCCCCAGATAGACTCTTCTGGGTTGCTTCTAGCTCCAAGTATTTGACGTTGAGCTTCCAGTTAATTCTTTGATCAATAGATCTGTAAGGACTACAGAGTAGTCTGCATATACAAAACTGAGTCCATGTTCCAAGCAGTCACATTAGTGCTTGGAGAATATTACCAAGTCAGAAGGGAGAAAACCCGAGTTCCCACCACTGACTGGCTGTATGGAGTCAGGGAATATTCCTTGACTCTCTGTTTCTTGGTTAATGCAGCTATAAAATAGGGAGCATGAGAAATGCCTTACAGAGCTCGGGGAGCTGTCATGAGGATCAAGTGGGATCACAGGCAAGAATGCGTTTTGTAAACTTCAGAACCTTGCTCAAAGAAAAGAACTTTCTGTTTCTTCACATCTTTAAAAACTTGGAACCATGCACTGAAGAAAACATTTTGGGGATTATTTAGCCAAATGGCATGGGCACCACTGCTGCAGCAAAACATTAGAGACATACAATGTCATTCTTGTTCCACATTCCTTACAGATACACCATATTGGAATCAACCGATGTTTTGGGCAATCAGTTTACGTATCAAGAAATGTCACATCTGGGTTAATCCTCACTGGACCTTTCTGAAATGAGCCAGAGGTATACCATATCCCTAAGAAGACGACTAGGCTCGCTGATATGGTAGTTTAGAGGTCAAGAAGTGAACTCAGCTCTCTTTAGGCAATAAAAGGGATGAGGCCATGATAAAAAATACTCTTCCCTTGCACTACTCATGTATGTAAAAATATACTTATGAAATGATGTTAGAGTAATCTTCACATTAGGTACACACATACAGAAACACACAAACATACATCTATACACCAATACCACCTAGTATCTTGGCAAATTCTCAATGCCATGTTTGCAGCCCTACGGAACACTTAAAAACCCCGTGAGGCTTATGGGAGATTCCTGAACTCTAATTAGGTTTTGAGAAAAGTAGATTATTGATTCCTGAGGTTTAGAACTATTCATATTTCAAAAGCTTGAGTTCCAAAGAGAAACAACAAAGAAAGAGAAATCAAAAGAGTTACATTGAGCCACGATGTAGAAGGACTAACAGGGCCTGCAAATGGGTACTTGCTACCAGGAAAAAAAACAACTCTAAAATTACATAATTAGAGGATCATTGAGGGAATGGACATGCCATTTATCAGTATGAATCAGTATAAGTAAAATTTTCCTTTGCACAAAATACTCATATCAAGACTCCTGAAAAAGTGTGAGGAGCCCAAGACTACCTTCATTCCAAGGGGAGTAAAGATGACACATCTTTGGGGCTCAGTGGAGATGTATTCTGCTTCATATGGGAGGAGAGATGAAGAGTTTTATTAACTCTGGTTTGAGGCCAAGTTCGCAGGACATAATAATCTGAATTCATAGGAAATAGAAGAGTATAACTAAAGCTCTTATTTCTCTGTGATTTCATTTACTTGTCCATGAGAGGCTTATAATTCTATGAATTAAAAATAATGTCATACGAAAAGAATATCAGCTTTTCTAAAATATTATCAGGACTTTTTTTTTTTCCTGCCTTACGATGCATTAGAAAAACAGAGTATCTGAAATGAAACCTTCTTCGATTTTCATTTTTTCAATAAATATTTATTGAGCTCCTCCTGGGTACCAAACCCTGACCCCAGACAGCAGACTCTGACACTAATTCGCTGGTATTTTAATCAGATGTATACTAGGGTATTGATTAACTTGCACTTATTCACTTGTTCATATGTCTACCTTTCTCAGTAGACTATAAGCAACCTAAGGTTGGGCATGTGACAGACAACACTTTGAAATCACAATTTAAAAAAAAATTATATAAAGATGCTTTGCTTTATAAAATATTTTATCAGAATCCTAATGTTCATAAAAAGATCTGATTCTAAAAAATGGACTTAGGTAAAAGTTTTAAGAAGATATCTCCCGTTACAGTATTATAGACTGGGTCTCTCCACGAGCTAATGAGGAAGGCTGTAGCATGTGGAACATGATATTTGTTTTTTCTTGTTTACTTTAAAAAAATTTTATGTTGGGGGGGCTTCCCTGGTGGCGCAGTGGTTGAGAGTCCGCCTGCCGATGCAGGGGACAGGGGTTCGTGCCCCGGTCCAGGAAGATCCCACATGCGGCGGAGCGGCTGGGCCCGTGAGCCATGGCCGCTGAGCCTGCGTGTCCGGAGCCTGTGCTCCGCAACCGGAGAGGCCACAACAGTGAGAGGCCCGCGTACCGGGAAAAAAAAAAAAATTTATATTGGGGTATAGTTGATTTACAATGTTGTGTTAGTTTCAGGTGTACAGCAAAGTGAGTCAGTTATACATATATCTATTCTTTTTCAGATTCTTTTCCCATGTAGGTTATTACAGAATATTAAGTAGAGTTCCCTGTGCTATACAGTGGGCCCCTGTCGATTATCTATTCTATGTATAGTAGAGTGTGTTAATCCCAAACTCCCGTAAACCCACAACAGAACGAGGATATGGGTGGATAATGAGGACTCGACTGTCCCTGGACTGGCAAAGTCAACAGAATAAAACAGATGGCTACACCCAAACTGAGCCTGAGGATTTCTAGTATTCATTTACTGGAGGACACAGAATTCTTTTTGCAAAAAATAAATTCTTTTTGAGATTATATTTTGACTTATAGTTAGATATCTAGGACCTGTCACATATGGTGTAACCTACAACAAAACAATAACAAAAACAAAAGATCAGGGAAAGGAGTTTTTTGTCCAAAGAGAAAATGCCAAAAAATTAATCATAATATTCCATAGTTTTGCAGACAAGATGGCCAAAGACGCAGACTCTTTGCTGATATCCCTCCATGGGCCATATGATAAGGAAATCTGAAACCTGGCACTCTCTGACTACAAGATCACTACAGTTTTCTTTGACAGGAGACCTCACGTAATGAGACTGAGAGCTTCTAAGCGGACAGATGTCTAAGCTGAAATGCTGACGATCCTTCCTGAGGGTGAGTAGGAAGGTGATTATTCCAGAGAAGGAGTGGGGAGTGAAATCAATAGCAAATCAAATGTTTAGTGGTTAAGGCAAACTATACTACGACAAATTCTACAGCATTTGCAATCCGTTAAGAAATAAAGAGAAAATGATTCAGCAATGTCACTCGAAACAGGAGGACTTTTGTCAGGTGGGCAAATGAATACTTGCTCCTGACAGAAAAACAGAATGAGAACAGGCAGCCTAAAAGATTTTTTTTTTTTTTTAATTAACCAAATCATTCAAATACAGAGCTGGACTTCTCTGAGTCACTGATGATTCAAACCAGCTCTGGCATCCGCATCAGAAGGTGTAAGAAGGACCGATGGCAATTATATTGCTGAAGAAAAAAAAATTACAGGCTAGTGGGCTGAAAAAGGAAAACAACAACCAGCTATGAGTCAAACCGACAAGATCAAATGGCCAAAACAGAAAGAATGCCCCCAATGCAAGAGTCTTCTGGAACTGGCTGAAGGCAGTGAGAATGCTTGCTTTCCTCAGGCATGTTTGTCCACAAGAATCTCTCTTCATATTAGTCACAGAAAACAAGAGCTCAGAAACAAAGAAATGATAAAATAAAAGCCCAAACAATTGTAAACATGCATGGGTAACATGTTGGATGCTTTCATGAACGTGTGTTCTCCAAGGAGTAACAAACTGGATGTGGACTTGGTCCTTAAAAACACACACTACCGAAGGGCAGGGCCACGTCTGCCCTCACAGACTACATCAAGCATCCATGACGATGACCGGTGAGTCAGTGTCAGCTCATACAGTCCTGGTGCCCAGGCCGTGCACAGTAGAGATTAGAGCTCCACAACAGTCATGACATACATAATAAGCATAAATAAGGCAACACAAACGATCAGAACGTATTCTGTTAGCACACAGGAGGCAGTTTTGTGTGATTGAATTTTTCAGGTGCTTCGGGCAGGGACCACTAATGTCCTTGAAACCAAAGTACTAGTTACAGTGGGCAGAGTCTGTGTTTTTTTTGTACAAATCAGGAGCGGAAAAACATGAGTATGCAACCAAATCACTGCAACTAAAAAAAGCAACCGCAGAATAATTTTGGTGATATTGTACTTGTTCTGGGGGTTGCCATGGAAATCTGGGAGCTAAGCTCCTTCACTTTCCATATTTACCAAGTGATTCCCGCTCGCTCTGATGACAAGCGTGCCACATACAAGACGCAGGGTCTCTTGATCACAGAACTCAGAGGCGAGGCCAGGAACGCACATGCCAAATCCGCCTGGCTCGGCAGGCCTGAACACGTCTGGCCCACTGAATACTCAGAGCTGGAGGGTAAATAGGAAACACAGACCTTCGACGCCACTTTGAGGGAGGTTTCTCACCATGCACAGAAGTCTGTCATCATAGAGGCTGATATCTCAGCTTTCCATGAGGTCTCAGACGAGTCGTCAGAAAGAAGATCTTTAA